ACAGAATTCATCAAAGAAATTCATAAATTTGAAAATGCTTATCCAGCTTTTGGACTAAGCCATCCATAAAGAGGAGATGCACAGAGGAAACTCTTATAGTTTCATTTAATACTAATTTCACTGAAAGTTGCACAGTAACCTGGAAACAGGTGAAAGGCTCAAGAGTGTAATTATTAACAGGCCAATGTCTACTATACCTGAATTCTGGGTCTCAAGCCTTGCCACTTGATTGTCATTTTCAACACTTTCTTCACTTTCCAGAGCTGTGATCAGCAAAAACAAGACGTGCACATTAAAGATGCAAAGGAGTGTCTTACATAGGATTCAGATACTCAGAATCAAGACCCCAGAATATCTATTTTAAGCACCCATTGCATAAAGCACCAACAGCATGACTGCAGTGCCCCACCTGCACCTCCACAGAGACCAATTGCTGCATCCCCAGCCCCATGCAACACTGGGAGCATGCCCTATCCGTATCAGATGATGTACTTTAAGTGAAATAATGTAGTCCTTTCAGGATACCCGGGTGGCAGTGCTGCGGTGGGGGGTAGCCGCTCTTGGAGCCAGCATGCAGCCCAGGTCAAGCATCTAGAGAATTCTCCAGTAACCACCTGCCAAGTGAGTTTTCACATGCCTTCGAGGTTAGCTGGGATCTGCGAGATGAAGGTGCCTCAGAACTCCCGTCACTAAGTGGGCACTTACACCGTCATTATGTTTCAGTAGTGGGCTATGAGCAAAAGTCAGCTGGGCTACTGCCTGTACAGTTGCAACAGGCTGACCCTAACGGAACCAAAGGAAGACTCAGTGCACCCAAAAATTTACTCACGTACCCCCCCCACCCCGCTATGCAGATTCAGCAGCTTAGGCAATGCCGTAAGCTCACCAGGAGAGATACGCTTCATGAAGCTTTTTGTGGACGAGGTTTGTTTGCTTAACCTTAGAAACCCCAATATCCTCTTCTCAGCCATGGCCCAAACAAACAAGGGCAATATGGTAAAGACGATCCTCTACTGACATCTTAGATGCAAGCGAGAAAACGACTTATCCCAGAAGCAATGTCACTACTGGTACGGCGTGGGAACAAGTTGTGAGAAAGCTCTTCCCAGCAGACCAATTCCCTTGAGATGTACAGTCCTTATGCTCATTCTCACCCCGAGACAACCGTGTTATCTCACCATCACGACAGAGGAGAGATGTGTTACTTCAACAGAACCTACAGAACATTGCTCCTCCATCTGCATGTCCCACACAGGATTCCTATATAATCCTTTCAACCCAGTTCCCCCAGCCTGTAATCCGAAAGCAACACATGGGAAAATATGGGACAGAAGTAAGACAACAGGAGCCCAACAGTCGTAGGGACTACCGAACTCAGGGAGACATATTTAACAGATCTTTGGGCAGCTCCAAGAAGAATCTCAGACAGGCACAACAACCAAATGAAATCTGGATCTGCCTGTTCTCAGGTAGTGTCAATCGAGAAATCCATCCTCATTATACAAGAGAAATGCAAAATCTTAACAGTTTGAACTGAACCTAAATCTTGTAGTGCAGCTGACCATTCCTGTTACCCTCCCGTACACGCCTGATCTGGTTTCCACTAATACGTCGTTAAAAAAAACTCCCAGTAGTGATTTAGAGACCTGGGCTATTTCTTCTCCCCCACTAGAAACAAACTGACCATTCCTGTTACCCTCCCGTACATGCCTGATCTGGTTTCCACTAATATGTTGTTAAAAAAAACTCCCAGTGATTTAGAGACCTGGGCTATTTCTTCTCCCCCACTAGAAACAAACAAAAGCATCATTTTTCTTGACCCAATACATTTTTAAATCATTTGGCACTTCTGAATTTCTCAAGTCCTTTGATTCAAGGATTTTCCTAAAATTTAGTTATTTAGATATAGGATCAAAATAAAATATAATGTACAAAAGGAGCAGAATACTTATAGGAATATATATTGATCCCCCAAACCGTTAAAATTTCAGACAGCTGAAGACAGTCTGAAACATAAGACTAAATTTCTATTTATAGGAACAAAACCACCAGCAAATCTGATACAGAAAACACGCTGAAACACATCAGACTTAAAAATCAAAAGTTACTGAAAACAAATGTTAGTCAGTGAAACAGTACCTCTACTGAATTTCATGGTTTTTGCAAGACTTTCATCTGTCTTACACAATAAGCTGAAATTTAAGGATCACTTTATGACTCTGCATTCAACAATTTAATCACTCACTAGAAATTCTGAATGGTTTTGTTTCCACAGGGATTATCTGCAACTGCAACAGATGTGCAGTCAAAATTTTCACTTGGGAGTCCTGAACCTATTTTTAATTACCGAGCAGTAATTAGATCTGCAAGCAGCGCTAGGTAGGGACCTCCCCTTCCCAATGCTGTTTGCTTTGTGCTTCACTACACATCCAAGCACTACCTGCGACCCACTGGCTGGACAGGATCTGCTGGAATAATTACAGAATGGTTTGGGTTGGAAGGGACCTTAAAGACCATCTAGTTCCAACCCCCCTGCCATGGGCAGGGACACCTTCCACTAGACCAAGTTGCTCAAAGCCTTGTCCAGCCTGGCCTTGAACACTTCCAGGGATGGGGCATCCATAATGAGCACAGCCAGCAGTTTCCTCATTTCCCTCCTATCCCAAGCACCTCAGCCATGGCCAGGGAGAAAGCTGCAGACCTGCAGCACTGCCTGATGGCACACAGCCTGCTCTTTGACAAACATTTCCAAGAAGGCTTGTTGTCATGGTTGCACATGCCCGGTCAGGAGTGATGCCTATCAGACGACGGGATACGAAGGAACCTCTGCGTAGCTCTGTGTTTGGTTTCCACAATACCAGCTGGCCCATCCCAGAAAAACCTGATACTCCCAGTCTGATAAGGGGACACCATCTCCTCTACTGCTGAAAGCCAAACATACAGCGCCACCGGTATTTTCTCAGTAACCAGTTCAGCGTTCCTTTCCTACAATAAACTGCAGATGTTGCTGCAAGTACCAGTATTTCGGTTCGAGAGCTTTAAGAACTCACCTCAATCACCACACCAATGCCCGCTGGGATCAGTACCAATAAACTTGTTTGTTCATCCAAAAGGAAAATAAATACTACCACAGTACTAAAGCACCGCCAAAGCACTAGAGGGAAGAAAACCAAAAACGGAAGTTTTGTTAATATTTAAATGAGCAGCCGAGATGGCAGAAGACTGTTGGCCTATTTGCTGTAATTCTGCCTTACACAGCTTAAACATGAACTTCTCCTACGTACATCTTGATGTGTGTCAAGTAGTTCCAGAACCAGCATACCTCCAGGCAAATAAGGAACAACAAGAACACATTTTATGAAATCCTTATCACCAAAGACGAAAGGAAATCGGAACGTTTAAGGAAGACTTCCGCACTGCACCAATCGGGCACGTATCAGTACGATTACAAACTGTGTTCACAACTCCTGACTCGGAAGTTGAAAGGCTGTGAGATAATCCAGTGCCGGTCTTTGAAACTCATGCAACTACTTCAATGCTTGCAAACGTTAAGAATTATATTTTAGGATTATTTTTCAGGTTTTGCAAAACCTTGGATGCTTTAAGTGTCTATCAACTAATTCTTAGATTCAAATATCCATCCCCCAGAGCAGGAACGGAAGGAGAGAAGAGCTGATGGCACACTCGGACATCAGCACTGATCCCTTCCAGGGCACCTGTCTGTCACACGCCTCTCTTGGGGCCAGAAGGTGATACAGGCAGAAAGGTGACTACAGCTTGCCAAAGAGAGGATGGAACCACCAACTGCTGGAGACAGAATATCCATACTGTGATCGTAAGGTTAAGAAACCCTCTGCCACTCAGTCTTCCCAATTTGACTTTATTCACTTCTTTAAACAATTAGCATTTAATTCTGAAATTTCCTGGACAGCTTTAAATTTTCACTAACTTTCTGGCATACATATGCCAACAGCAGTACAGACGCCTTACGAAAACAGAGGCACTCTGCTACAGACTCTAAACAGATTTTCCCCATGAGAAAAAACATGTTGCTGTTCGCTGTGATTTAGAATGCCTGGGGTTTTTTCCTCCTGGTACCGATACTCTTCACGTGCTTTAATCAATCTGTATATATGACAGAATTAGGGATAGTCTCAAAGGTCAAGTGACTCCAGGTTTTATCATTCTGGTTTATAATCAGCACAGTAAAAATCTATTAGAAAAACAAGCAGTTAAGTATGAGCACAATCACCGAGGCTGAGGAGCTGTGTGCTACGCCTCAAGCATCCAGGGCTGGTTGCTACCCTCACCTGTCTCTAGGAGGGCCTGGCGGGATGTCAGACCACTATGCTTCTCTCACCTTTCCTACATCCAAGTCAACTCAATCCTCCCATTCTCCTCCCTCCCACCCTACCCCCCAGGAGCTTCTACTGCTCCCGTTTCCACCAAAGCCCAAACCAAACAACAGCGTTACGCTGCAGCGTCTTCCCTCCCAAGCATTCCGGAGCCTGTAGTTATCTACAAGGAACACAGGGGACTCGCAGGACAGCATTACTCATGACAGCACATTCTCTCCACCCACAGGATTCTTCCTGGTCCTCTCATTTTTCTGTTCCTTCGGCAAGGGAAATCTGGCGACTGACTACGTATTAAACTTGCTCTCAACTGTAAGCCAGTGAAACCTCAGAAGTGACACGAGTGCTTCAAGCAAGTGATACTTGAGCACAGTGGTAACGACGTTAGAATCGTTAGGCCCGTTAGACACCTTGTTTTCATACACGGACACATCTCATTCTGCCATCCTGGTGAAGCTACAGAGTTTCAACAAGACTAAAAAACACACAGTGCAAGTAAGACAACACACGCACAACACTTCCCATTCCGGCCCATACCTGCTTTTGTAGACATCCCAGTCATGCTCCTCTTTTTCTTCCAAAAACTGATGTCATTTTTGAATGCAAGGAAATCAAAGAGAAGCTGCAAATAGCAAGAAACACAGTCATTTGTTCAAACGTGCAGTAGTTAAAGACCACCAGCTGGGCTGTTAAAAAAAAGCATTTAGGGTGGAACTGCAAGGAAAACTTGTTTTAGAAACCACAGAAGTAAAAAATTAAATTCCACAGAAATAAAAGCTAAAAACTGTTTTAGGGCCCAAGCTCCAAACCCAGTGCAAAATGACAGGAGGAATTCCAGGTGCTGCTGCTACTACGGCAATGCTGCATCTGGTAAAGAAAGTCAGAGACCCAACACAGGGCAACACACGACAGAGGATGAAGAACTGAGCACCCCGAGGAACTGCTCACTTCCTGGGCAGGCCAGGGAGAGCCACACCAAATTAGATCACAAATGCTTCACATTGGATCGACAGTCAATTTTGGCTTAGACAGTAACAAACCTTTTTTTAAAATTCCTAAAATACAGTCAGCCATTTTCCCTTCTCTATTTCATCACCAAGAAGTTGATCTGAACTTCCAAGCACATTTTAGCATTAAATTTACTTGTACCAAGTATTTTTTCCAGGGTTTTCAGCATTTTTGTTCAGGACAGAATAAACTAGACTAGTTCAGTTGGAAAGGACCTACAGTGAACATCTAGTCCAACTGCCTGACCACTTCAGGGCTGACCAGCTGCTCCTCACAGTCATTCCAGCCCTTTCACCAGCCTTGGTAACCTCCCCCTTCGGATGCATTCAAGGAACGTCACATCCTTCTTGAGGTGTGTGGCCCAGAACCGCCCACAGTGCTCAAGGCGAGGTCGCACCAAGGCTGAATACAGCGGGATGATCACCTCTCTTGACAGGCTGGTTATGCTCTGCTTCATGCATCCCAGGATGGGGTTTGCCCTTCTGGGCCCCAGGACCGTTTTCAGTATTTCCTTTAGGCAATAAAGGAAATAAATAAAGCAATAACTTAAAAAAAAAAAAAAAAAGCAGCACAGATTCAAGAAATTCTTGGGTCAGAGAATTTTAATGAAAAAAGTATAGTTTTTTTTAATTTGGGCAAAAGATACACAAAAAAATATCAAAACAGCCTACAGATCTCTTACAACCTAATAAACAGAATGGAAAAAAAAAGAAATTAAAAAGGCTGGGAAGCCTAAGGGTTTCCAATCAAATTAATTGCATGTAATGGAAGTATAAAGAAACATAACGTGCCCAGCAAGTTCTTATCTATCCCAGAATAAGGGAATTGTATCAAGAATAATTGTAGATGACAAAAACGTTTCAAGTAGAATAATGAAGTTTAAAAAAATTGTTCATTAAAGCAAAGATTCTTGTTTAAACCAAGACACACACAACGTTGACAGACACACACACCAACCACCACCACCCACACCTAAGCTCTGCACTTCAGAGCAATATTTTTTGAAGTAATCTAGATCAGCTGATCTAAATTTCTCCAAGGGTTAAAAGTGTGAGACTCAAACCCTGCTGCTGGTGCCCAAGCTATGTCACCACAACAGTAAGCTTTGGGATAGCTCAGCTTAGCAGAAAATGTGAACCACTGTTGACAGGCGTATTAATTCTAGGTGCTTTGGTTCAGCTAAAAAAAAAAGTGATGATAATGTAGTTAAATGTTTTATACCTCAGTCAAGACTGTTTAGTTTATACCTAGTTATCTCGTATTTCTATCTCTAATATTTTTGTATTAACTTGGTATTGGAAATACAACTGGCTTGAACCAGAAACCTCTTCTATTGCCCTGCTGAAATTATGATTTCCAAGAACAGTTCTCAATAAATAAAGAGCTGAAGTTCAACCCACACCACAGCCCTTTCTTTTTTTTTTTTTCAGATTTCATATGCTGTAATTACTATAACCCAAAGTTTCTCCACTTACATGAAACGCTGCTACGAAGAACGTCAAAGCCAGAAAGTACAGGTTAGTATCAACAAAAATTCCCTTTACTTCATCTGCATCCTTTTCTGAAAACCCTAAGAGAAAGAAGAAGTAATTATGGAAGAAGTACTAGACAGTTAATTGCTGTCATGCTAGAGCCCAGTATGTAAGGAATCTTATTTCACCCGCACATCTTTCATTAGGGAATCATACACCCAACCCAAGATGGCAGCTCCACCAGTAAAACCCAACTCTACCTCTATTCTGGCCAGCTATTTGGCTTGCCTTAAACAAACCCTGTCTGTTACAAGCAGAGTGACATGCCTTTAATGCGTTGTGTGAATACAACCCCAGCTGCACTCCAGACACACGGCAAGACACAGGTAATCATTCTGGCCCAAGCGGGAAGAAAAAGGGATTATTCAACTTGGCCTCTGAGCTTTTGTTTGGTACGTAAGAACAGTGAGCTCAATATTAAAACCTGAAAAAAGTGAGAAAAGGCCTGCATTGCAGAGGTCAAAGGTCAGCGGGAAACATGGCCGTACACACAACAGTACAGTCCCAAGATCAGGGATTAGGCATCAACTCTTCTGACAGTCCTTACAGATTTAACTTGGAAGCTTCTCTTTGACAGATGGGAAAAGGCAAAGCATCTTCCAGAAATCACAGTCAATAAACTGAACGCTGGATCTCTACTGTCTTATCAATTCTCCTAAAGGAGGAACGTTGCTTTCTTGTTATATACTGGACAACCATTACTTCAAAAAGTTATGACCCTGTCCGTGATAAATGTGGCTGCCAGCACCAAGGAGTGTGTTTCCCAGAAGATACAGTACTCCTCTGTATTCCCTCAGCCAGTGTTAAGATGCTTTCTTCATGAAGTAGAAGCTTCCAGCCACTATGACCGAAGTCTACCATTCCCAGAAAATGCACAACGCTGCATGTACGGCCATGGTGCTGGCTGTGGCACTGGTGAGTTCAGTTCCAATTCCCTCTGTCACACGGGCTGTCCCTCACCACTGCAAGCAGCTTATGTAGCACCCATCCAGCGTTTCCGTTCTGTGGATGACACGGGAAACCTGTGGCAAAAATGCTCTCCTCTATTTTGGCCTCTTATGCTTTTACAGTAGTACTAATCACAACCAATTTATTTTTTAAAGGGTTACTTCACCTCCGTATTCTTGCATCCTACCACATGTCAACATTTTATTTCCATCTCTACTTTAAGGTAAAACAATAAGATCTGTAGCATTGAACCTTCTCACCAGCTAACCAGAAAAAAAGAGTTGTGTCATCTATGTACCTACCAAAAAAAAAAAAAAAATTGAGGAGTTGGGTTTTTTTGTGCCTAAAGTCACTGAAGATAAAAAACATACCAAATTGTTGGAGGGAGTATAGAGCATCCTGCATGTGGATCCAAAATCGCAGCTTTCCAAGAGAGATTTTGTCATACGACACTGTAAGAGGTAGCTCTGTTGCTGAACGATTTATAACCTGCGTTTCAAAAAGATGCATTTCAAAATAACTAAATTACAACAATTATTTCAATTCTCTTTTTTTAATATAGCGATTATGTCCCACTATAATCACACAGTTTTAAGCGGTCAGTTCATTTTTTGAAACGGAGTATGATCTTAGAGACCGTGCTTGAAGTCTTTGGGGTTTTTCCCCCAGAAATGCTGAACTAGCAGTTTGTTCTTATGGCAACCTCGCTGTTACTGTACACCAACGCCTCTGAGGCATTTACATGAAGCTCCCTCTGCTGGTCCCAGCTCAAGTGGGAAAAGTGTGCTGAAGGTCACTCTCTTAGTTCTTCTCTGAACGTATGTGTTAAGCTTACCTAAACCAGAAGATTTAAAAAAAAAAAAACCAAAAAACCCCCAAACAAACAAACAAAACAACAACAACAAAAAAACAACCAACAACACAAACCCAAACCAAAATTGCATCCCAAAGGCCACAGCCAGAACTTCGCTAAACTGAGGCTGGTTTTGAGAGAAACTGAAGTTAGAACAACTCATACCAAAACAAAAGGTGGGGAAGGAAGATGGTGCTGCTTGCTCAGGCTGGTGAAAACACCACACCTAATGCCCAGCAAGCTACCCTGCGCCTGCAAAACTCGGCACGTGGGGCATCACAGAGGTCTTCCTGCTCCAAGAGAAATAAATTCCAGTTAATCCTCCGGTACCATCTATGCTTGAGTTATGATGAACTACCTGGGGACACCCTAGTAGCGTCACTCTTCTGTTCACTCCTTCCTCCAGTGAGTACACTCAACCCTCGGTCCCACCGTCCTCCCCAGGGCCCGTAGGCTTTTCAGAGAGTGGCAGAACAAACATACACGCAAGGGAGAGAAAGGGAAGCTGAGAAACTTTTATGAACGCAGAAGGGAGAAAGCTTCAGCAACTACAAGGGTGGCAGGGATCTGGGAAGACCTTACAGCACCTTCCAGTACCTGAAGGGGCTACAAGGAAGCTGGGGGGGACTTTTTACAAGGGCCTGTAGTGACAGGACGAGGGGTAACGGGTTTAAATTGAAAGCGGGGAGGTTTACATTAGATATCAGGAAGAAATCCTTCCCGGAGAGGGTGGTGAGGCACTGGAACAGAACAAATTTTGCAGAAGTAAGTAACATGCAGTAAACGTGCTCTCCACAAGCACTGCCAAAGAGTTAGGGGTAGCACAGGGAGAACTTCGGATTGCAATACAAGACAAACACAGGAATCCTTCAACACCAAAAGCAAATTAAATGAAGATATAAAGATGAGAAAAATGAACTCTTTCTCAATAAACAATTAAAAGCCCACAAGTGATGCCTCACAGCCTAGTCGGGTGTGATGGTTGCTAAGCTGTGGAAAACTAGGAAGCTACCCAACCTCTACAATACAGCCTACTTGTGTAATACAGCCTCAGAACATACCACTTCTAGCACTCTGTTTACACACCGTTCTGCAGTACTGACAAAGTACAGTTCAGCGGTATGAATCTTAAAGTTTTCTCTGTATTAAATCAGAATCCTGTGCAATCCCCAAACCCTCAGCACTGGCAAGAACACTTAAGAACACGAGGGACACACAACTTCCAGATGACGGTACTTACCACAGGAGACCTACCTGGGCCAAGGCAACAGCTCAGACCCTACACAGCCCAGCACAAGCAGGGAAATGCATCATCAGTTTCGTGACACGGGGTCGGGCGTACCCAACAGACAGCGCCTGTGCCCCTATTTACAGTCACAGGCCGACCGAGAGGACTTTTTACAAGAGCCTGTAGTGACAGGACAAGGGGTAATGGGTATAAATTGAAATCAGGGAGGTTTAGATTAGATATCAGGAAGAAATTCTTCACAGAGAGGGTGGTGAGGGGGTCTTCGAGGCCAGGCTGGATGTGGCTTTGAGCAACCTGGTCTAGTGGAAGGTGTCCCTGCCCATAGCAGGGGGGTTGGAACCGGATGGGCTTTAAGGTCCCTTCCAACCCAAACCATTCTATGATTCTATGACCTCACTCCACCCAAGCTCCATCCCCCTATTTACAGTCACAGGCCGACCTCACTCCACTCAAGCTCCATTTCCTTCCCCTACCCTTTCCTGCTCTTCACTCACCCGTTACCATCTCCCAGTATGCATACTGGCGGGCCACTCACCCCACAGGCCTTGCGAGCAGTTTGGCAGGTCACCACTGAGAAGTCACACAAGCCAGTGCTTAAAGGGGAAGTTTGCAAACTTTGTTGGAACAATCTTTGCAGCACTTTAAGGACTACCAGCACTAACCCTGACAGGCACGAGGACTGCAGGAACGTCATTCACAGGGGAATGCTCCATTCATTTGTAAATGGGGTACGTGACCAGTTAGTAGCTCATGTGAATGCACTGAGCTGAATGAGCTGTGGTAAGGAACTTAAAACACAGGACAATGAGCACCATCTGCTGCCAAACCATCGCTCAGGAGTTTACCGAACAAGCTTGGGGTGGAGGGGATACGAGTTCTTAAAGACTCTCCCCAACACTAAGTAACAAAATTCTTTGTCTGAGCTCAAGTTAATGAATTGGAAAGACAATTTGGCAGGCCTGTGGCAAGTTTACACCTACCAAGAGTTCCATCTAGAATACGCTACATCCAGATATACTCATTTAACAGTTCTGAGACATTCTCCAAGGCTTTTGTTCTCAGTGACTCCGACTGCTGAATTCCAGTCAGTGCAACTGAAAAGAACCGCAGGACTTAACGAAGAGCTGCAAAGATGAAGATGGTTTAGATGCAGAGGACTGCCACGTTACTTGTAGTAAATGGAACTGCACAATTTTCCACAAGAGAAAAGTTGGGCAAAAAATGAATACAGAAAATTCTATTTTAATATTAAAACCCACCTGTTTTAGTTTGTTTTTTCTTTAACTGCAGGGCTAACTGAGCATTAGAGCAGGTTGCCCAGAGAGGCTGTGGCATCTCCGTCCTTGGAGATACTCAAAACCCAGCTAGAGAAGGTCTTGAGCAACCCGCTCTAAGTGACCCTCCCCTGAGCAGGGGCGCTGGACTAGCAACCTCAAGAAATCTCATCCAACCTCATCCTTCTGTAATTCCATTACTGAAGTCTCCAAGTCCTTACTGGTTTGAGTGCACAAAATCACTGGATGTACTGCAACACCAAGCTTTCAGGTGCTCAATTTACTCTAACGTGATAGAATCACAGAGTGGTTTGGGTTGGAAGGGACCTTAAAGACCATCTAGTTCCAACCCCCCTGCCATGGGCAGGGACACCTTCCACTAGACCAGGTTGCTCAAAGCCTCATCCAGCCTGGCCTTGAGTGTTTCCAAGGGATGGGGCATCCACAGCTTCTCTGGGCAACCTGTTTCAGTGTCTCACCACCCTCTCCGGGAAGAACTTCGTTTGATCCCCAATCTAAACCTCCCTGCTTTCAATTTAACCCCATTCCCCCTTGTCCTGTCACTACAGGCCCTTGTAAAAAGTCCCCCCCAGCTTCCTTGTAGCCCCTTCAGGTACTGGAAGGCTGCAATAAGGTCTCCCCGGAGCCTCCTCTCTCCAGCCTGAACAAGCCCAACTCTCTCAGATAGAAAGCACCACCAGAAAATTTAACCATGAGTGAATTTTTTTGAGATAATAGCAACAGACTTATCCCCGTGTAGCTTGAGTATCAGCAGTGTTCAGCATGCTCATTTCCCTAGAAGCTGCTCCGGGATGCTAACACAACTCCTTCAGCTTAGGGAGGTAAACTGCTCACGAGACTGCTCCCATCACAGCTGGTGCTGCAATGGTGTCCCCCATATCCACACAAAAGGCAGAAGGAGTGGAAACCAAGTATTTGTTGGTGGAATAGAAGGGAGTGCTCGGCAGATACTTCTGCCAGAGTGCAGTCTCAAAACCCAGGATCCAGCCTCTGCAGTTACCACAGCTGACCACATTAAGTTAAAGAGCCATTGATAAGAGTCTTTTGGTGAACTTACACTTTTTCACACAGCGAAAACAGCATTGAAGATTACTGTTAAATGTAATTAAAGGTATTCTATTACTCACCATCAAATCTTTCACTCTGTTGCTTAGCTGATCAATAAATAATATTGGAAGGTAATGCACTGTCTTCCCCAGCTGAACCCTAGGATGTTTAAACATGGATTTTATGACTGTAGTGATCTAAAAAGAAAACTACTTTTATTCAAATCAGCACTCATTCATTACTTTCAGACTACCCGTGTAGAGATTGCCCACCATCTTTACAGGCACATTTCCTTCTAACACACAGCAGGAAAGAAGCCACCAGCCTAGCGCCTTTCAGTGAGAGATGTCTGTATAGGAAGTTAGGCATGTCACATCTCTCCTTTGAGTTAGTTTGTACTTTTCCCCAGAAAGACAGAATAAGCAAAAAATAAAAAAGACAAACGAAATTGGTTGTGAAGATGCTGAAGCTGTTGCATGACAAGCTGTTGCAAGGGTAGAGGGAGTTAAAAAGTGTGTTGCAATGTGCTGAAGTTTACTACCATGTATTTAGATCCTTTGTCTCAAGTATCCCTCCCCTGCAGTGACAACCCTCCAGCATCTCCCCCACTCCTCCGCACCCCCAGTGCCACCTACCAGGTCACCAACAGCACCCACTCTAGCTAGCACGGGACTACGAACACGACAGCCGGTACGCACACAGGAGGGGCAGATGCTACTGGGGAGAGTGCACAGGGAGCAGGAATCTTCTCTGCCTTCTCCTCCGCAGAAGCTCTGGGTTGGATCGCTCTACCACCTCACCAAATTGCATGAAACCAACTAAACTTCCCAGCCTTTGAGCCTTCTACAAAACTGACCACTGGAAAGTTACTTAGCCAATTACGACCTACAAGCAATGGCCTTGCCAGTACCTCAGGAACGTATTTAGCCCAATATCCTGAGAGACAAATTCTTCAAGTTCTTCACTAGAAAGGCAGTTACCTACGCAGCGAGGTGCTTGGTGAAAGTCTATGGAATTAGTGTAACGGAGCTTTTTAAAGCCAAATCTTAGTTGCTGACAAAAGCAGCCTCTACCCGTGCTAAGAAAGGCTGCATACTAAACATACAGTGGGCAACAGAAACACAGGAAAGCACTAAATGAAGGCTCAGAACTTGCCAGCCTCAGAACCAAGCTCATAACTGCTTGGTTATTATTTAACTGAAGAGGTTTTGACTTCTACAAAATAACTACAGTCAAAGCTACTGCTAGCGGAGGTGCAGCAGGCTACTTCATCTCCAGACTGCTTCCTGTATAACGCAACGACAAAACAGCACCGATGCGTATCTAAACAAGCCCAGAAACAACATCCTCATTCATCAACCCCTCCTTGTTACGGGCCTATCTTATGAGTTACAAAGTTTATCTGTTCTGGCTGGGAAGCCCTGCGGCTGGATCGAACAGGATACTTGCAGAGAAAGGCATCAACATACAGCAGCACAAGCCAATGCAACACTGTTTACATGGTTAGCACTGGAAGCAGTTTAAGCAAGCCGTGAACAGAAGCTACTGCCTGCATTTTGTGGCCTAAAAACCCATCCCTGCTTTTCAGTACTGCCTTGAGAAATTCGACACATTGTAGGAACAGACACTGTCAAAGTAAAATAAAGCCAATCATGAAGGGAGAAGAAAAGGCAGGAGATCAGCTGTGCCCCTTCAACACTTGCAGTCCATGCAGATAATTTGCAGATGATGGATAACCGGAAAGGTCAAGGGACAGTAATTGCTTTAAAGGCCAGACATAGGATTTGAGAACAAGGGGGTATAAAGTCTGCTGTAGCATTTTACTTGTGTCTTTGTAGTTCTGCTTTGTCTTACTATGCTAACTCCATACAAAAAAGCATTCTAAACCCTGAGCTGCCCAAGAACAAGGTATCTCCAACCAAGTTTTCTAGTACATACCATCGTACTCACTGCCACTAGTGAAATGCAAGCATCGAGAGTATCAACTCCTGTCCCCTAAGCGGCAACTTAAACATAAAATACCAAAAGGAGGCCAGGAAAGGTTTCTGAAGAAACGTGCAGCAAGTTTATAGTAACAAATCCAGCGAAATTAAGTAACTGACTTACATCTTCATGTAACGGTGAACGTCAGCAGGGAGGGATGATCCATCAAACACAAAATCTTCCACCATGACATTTAAGGTTAATCTTGACCTCCAGTGAGAGACAGGCTCATCTAGAGCACTGGTCTGTTTTTCTGCTTCAATTTGCTTTAAAAATACGATAAACAAACGTACTGATAAACAATACAGCATTCTGAATAGGGTAATACTCTAACTCACAGAGCTGGACCCATGAACTACACCACAAAACAGGAGCCCACTAAGAAACACTTTACCTTCATTTTGACCAGATCAAGTGTTTTGCTCAAATAAGAGAGAACAGACTGTAAAGGCTCACCATAGCCTGACACTGAAAAACTTCAGTGCCCGTTCACAGCCTCGTTCTTCAAGAATGAATATTCAGCCAGCTAGGAATGTGGATACTAGTCAGACAAAGCCACTTTGAAATAAGGGTGGTAATCAGATGTGACTTCAAAACAGTTAAAAGGTTGTGGATGATCAAAAATATGAATTTTTGGGAGTAAAAAGATCAGACCATTTGTTTTGGAACTTCTGAGCTTCCAACTGCTGTGTAAAGCAGTGTTGAAACTGAGCATGACCTTAGCTTTCAGCAGAGGCTTAGCCCCAGGGCATTTGACTTGCTTTTCTTCGGATGAGTATCACCTGTTCCAACTTTGTGTTGGACTCTAGCCTCCGCTCATTTTCAACTTTATTCCGACAGGATTTAGAAAAGCACTGCTGGCTACAGGTATCTTCTGATTCCAAGGAAGAACAGAGTGAAATTCTCAAGCTCCACCTCCTGTGAGGCACAACAGCCGTTCACAAGTATTTAATTACATAACACCACATTTTTTTCCTCCCCGGTGAGTATCCTTTGATGAATGCTGTGATTACTATCTTATTCTCTTGAGCTGAAGTGGGAAGTACGAACAGCCTATAGGAAAAGCAGCAATCTGACACTGGTCACCCACCAATGTCAAAATCAAGTTCCTATCTCCGTGTTGTAGAAGCAAAGCGTATTATTTCACGCAAATCCGACTCACTATGAAAAGCAGCATCGTGCTGTTGCAGAACAATACAGTATTTACACCAAAAGCAATGAAACCTTAAAGAAGTAATTGATGTCAGCTAGGGCAGTATTTTAACAGCAGCCAGTGTTAGAGAGCGCTCTACCTCTGCTGTGCCGAGAGGTCTACGATTAGCGTACAAGCTGATAATCAAGGGGGGTTTGATTTCCCCCCCTCCCCCCAATATCATCATTTGCGTGAAGACACAAGCTCAGCAGATGCTAACACTAAAAGCGTCGATAAAAAAAACAAAATCACTTTTTTTGAAGTTGTTCATCTATAGATGAAAAAAAAACCCACCTACCTGTGTGGCTGATTCTCCAGTGAGCAGATTAATCTCTTCTGGTTTAGGGACCATGTAGGTGGTCAGAGGGCTTACTATATGCACCTGCTTACCATCACGCCAAGGCAAAATGCCAGCGTGATGAAGAAAGATATATGCATATAACGTGCCATTGTTCCGGGTCTTCTTTGGTACAGAGACATTCACTGTCCTAAAATACAAAATAAATGCATGATGAGATGACACAGCACATGCTGAAATATTCAGCTCTTACATAAAAGGATCACTGATGATGTTCTGGAAGCAAGCAATAAAAAGGTTGGGGACGTTAAAATAAAAATTAAGAGCAAACAAAAGAGGAGGAGACATTTGGGTTGCCCGGATCACACCAATTAGTTCTGACTAATATGTCCTAATGAGCCATAGCTGAATGGGATCAATTTATATAATACAGCATGTATCACAATATTTGCATTTCCAGAGTTTCACTGTTATCTTTAGACATGTTAATCTTTGTCCAATTCCTACTTCATTACCCTAGATAACACAGAACTGCACCATCAGTTTTGTTGTTTTCCCCCCGCCAACAGGTCACAGGGGCCAAAATTATCCCAGCAGGTGGAGAAAACGGCCTTCCGCGTGCTGAACCCCTATGGCAGACGGCATACACGACACACAGCTTACAAGGAAAACCACAAAGTTTTGCCAAGCGCTTGCATTAATAAAATACCTTCTCCACTACGGCCCGTCAAGCACGGAACTCCAGACTGGAGCCCCAAACCACAAAGTCACTCCCCTGGCGTTAGCCAGGAAATCATCCCACTCGCTGCCTTGCACAATGCCTCTTCTACTCCTGTAAATCTGCTCAGGTTATTTCGCTCTGAATACCTTCACGGCCTTAGCAGCCTCTGTCAGGGAAACAATTCTTGTATTCTCAGGTCTGACAGAGGCGAAGTTTAACGTGACCCAGACTGCAAACCAACGTCCTCTTTCATTGCGGAAAACACGGAATGTGAAAGAAGCGGGGAGACTCTGCGATGACAGAGTCGAGAATGAGGCGACTGTTTAAAATACGAAGCACAAGCAAGCGGTTCTCTGTCCAATTTTAATTGTATGGAGGCACACATAGAGCACAATCTTATTCCATCTTAGCGCCAACATCCCTTCAGAAGGTCTTGAAACCCTAAACTACCAGAAAAAGGTTTACTTGTATGTGCCGAAACAGAGAGAGAAAAGCATGTTGCTGAAGCACAGGAAGAGAGAACACGCTCTGACTCCCAAGTTCTATTCCAGGTCCGAAGCCACGGCTATTCAGAATAAAACATCGTGTAGCTAGTAGGCTGGCTACAGGTGTTATTAGGGGAAAGTCTCAAGCCTCTCCAGGCACTCGGACTGAAGATTTTCACAATGAAAAATAGTATTTTCTGTTACACACAGAGCGCGCTCCTGTAGAACATCTGCCTACACGGCTGAAAACGGCGCGTCGACCAAACCCGACCAGTGCTTAAGTTTTTAGCCCATCCTAGGCACATTACTGATCCAGCATGGCTGGCGAGGCGAGTGTTTAGAACAGAATCTGAAAATTAAGACAACGTAGGACAGTGTTCAGGATCTGGAGAGAAACAAGCATTTCTGCATTTACTAGCCCCACCTTGTTTTGCAAGCCTTGTTTCTTTGCAACTGTGAGATGATTCTCAGTGTAAGAAGAGTTTGCCCAAGAGCCCATTCCTCTGCGCCAGGTGAATTTAGCACACTGTTTCCATCAAGGCAGGCACTCCACCAATGTTTAATTCACAGAACTTTTAGTTAAAAAGATACCTTTTTAATTAACGGCAGCACTTTGTCCTCAACTCAAAGGCTGAAATCCAACTAACCACTTCCCTGCCTTAACATGGCAAACGCAGTTATTACTTTAGGAAAACAAACGTGAACTGAACAGCCTGCCCAGCACGCAAAACCAGCTTTAACCCCAAAACAAAGCATGCAAGAACGACTCTTTCGACACAACCATCAGGAGCTGTCTACCTTGTTTCGTGCATACTTCCACACACGTTAGGACACCTACCTTTCAAATTTGGACTCGAGATCGAAATCCTCCACATTCAACACCAGATCTATGGTGCTCTCGGCACCAATGTTTGACCGTGTGGTAGTGTACACGCTTAACTGAAATCAAAACACAGCACAGAGAAATCACCGAGTACAGAAATGCTGAATTCATGCTCCGGAATGCTTCGAGGGCAGGGCTGTGCCCCAGCTTTGCCAGTTTGCCCAGTCACATGACGGTTACGTACACTGGGAAAGAAAATAGTACTCTAAAATTAGAGTCTAACACAGCTTTCAGTGATCCCTTCTCTCCTTTGGCAGGGGGGAAACCCGCTGTGACACGGCCACGAAACACGTTTTAATGGGATGACCTTCTCCTCCAGTCAAAGATGCCCAGGTAAGTGGAGCCCTGTCTCCAGCACGGCTGCCCTGCTCAGCGTAGGCACAGCAGCTGCACGAAACCCCAGAACATAGAATCACAGACTGGTT